AATTTTTTATAGGATAAATAAGTCTTAAAAACTGCTACCATGGTGTTTTGCAGACTAAGCAAGCATTTTACCATCTAGTGATTCTTACTCTGTGGGAGATGGGATAAGTAATCATTTTTTTGATACCCACCCAGAATAGATTGACATATCTTTGGAACACAATTCATTGCCTGCCTAAATTAAGTGGAAGGGTTGACAGAGAGGGTAACATGAAGACACATGGAAACTCTTGACTGGTTCCTTTCTGCATGCAGCTGCATTGGGTCTGCTCTGATTTTCAATCCTTAGTGTCATCCTTTATCCTGTCCCTCAAACTAAAACATCTGCAGTAGGAAAGAGCAGGCGAGTGTTTCCGAAGCAGGAGCCTGAGGAATGCTTATTTGAATGGAGCTGACTTCTTACCCTCCCCAAGGGGCAGAGGTGTTGATACTTTCCATCAGTAATGACCTCATAGGAAAGCCATGTGCATCGTGAAAGCCACCACCACACCTGGCACTGATTCAGGGAGAAGCTGGAGCCTGCGTCTAAGTGATCTTTGAGACGGAACTACCCTGTCTCCAATCTAGGCAATCTGTCGGCCTCAATCTGTGAGCAGGTTGAGGAAAATCATGGAAGAATCTTTTAAAGGCATATTTTTGCAGTGGAAACAGAGAACACCTGATTTCACAGCATTAATATGTTTGAAATGCACTACTTGGAAATGTTAAAATAATATTTCTCCCTCTTAAGTAAATCTTCCTTTAATTACTTATAAATTCAAACCCTCACCCACTTATTAGTCACCCCAGTGGGTGCACCAACTATGAGGTAAGCCATATGTGTGGCAGCAGTACACTATCCATGTGAAGCTTTCAAAGACAGAGGTAGATTGCAGCTGAATAATCACATGCTTGCATGAGCTGAGATGGAGACTGTGAAGAGGAGGATGTTTTGAGAAGGTAAAAACAAAGGGAAGACACATCAGATAGTTGGGGACTGGTGGATATGCTGTCTAGGGCTCAATATTTGAAGGAAAATGGAAGTTCCATAGTGCAGGAGAGACTTCTAGTCATAGAGATCTGCAGGAGCAAAGAGGTTGTACTCTAGAAAGCAGCACATACTACTCTAGAACTGTGCACATACTGGTTCTGATGGATCATGAAGGTCAGGTAGACTGTGCAGGTTCCTTCTTTCCTTTCATAGCCTGGTTGTTGTTTTCAACTCCACTCCCACGTTTTGTCAACAAAACCCAAAGAGACAAACAAAAGCACTAACAACCCCAAGCACAGGTCAGGGAGCCTTGGACTACATGACTCTGGTTGAGCCTTTATTGCTTCGGCACTTAGGGTAATTCATTCTCTGAGGTGATGAGTCCCTGAAAGCAGTACTATAACTTTTCAGAGTTGGAGACTAGATAGAGGAGAAATCTAGTCACCTGGCTTCACAGATATCTTCTTTTCACTGGGTTAGGTCCCAGGAAAAGGAACGTCTCCTCTCCAACAGGGAGTTTGTATTCTTCCGAGAAAGAGGAACTGAGGCTCCCATATTGTTTGGGCCCTTTGGGGGACTTGTTTCTTTTCTTCTCCTTCTCGCTCTTCTCCTCCTTCTCCTCCTTCTCCCCCTTCTCCCCTTCTCCCCTTCTCTCCCTTCTGCCCCTTCTCCTCCTTCTCCTCTTCATCCTTTTTCTCCCTCCTTCCTTCTTTTCTTTTTTTACTTTCTGGGTAGAAACAGAGACCAGTTATACACAAAATTCAGCTACTTAAAAAATGTGTGTAATTGAATGTTTTGTCCACTATGTTGTTAAATAGTTAAAGTTCCTATTTTTTTTTTAAAAGAAGAATTGTGTGTCTGCCTGGGTCACATTCTATTCCTTCCATATCTGGTCTTCTAAACTTACCATTCAGTTTTGTTCCTTTAAAATTTTTTGTTGTCATTAGGATCAGAATCACTTTTTGTTGTTGTTGTTTCTTGAGACAGGGTTTCTCTGTGTAGCTTTGCACCTTTCCTAGAACTCACTCTGTAGCCCGGGCTGGCTTCAAACTCGCAGAGATCCACCTGTCTCTGCCTCCCCAGTGCTGGGACTAAAGGCATGCACCACCGCTGTCTGGCTCAGAATCACTTCTACAACATGTAAAACTGACCATGCAACTTCTTTGCTCAGTAATTGACAGGCTCTCTATTAAGTTAAATACAATACTACAAATTACATTGGATGTTTATAGTCATTCAGATTTATGCTTCCTTCTTTATGAATTATCTTCCTTTCCTCTTGCACATTGATCATATGTTTAGTTGTGGGGTACTTCCTGGTCCTGGAATATTCTTTGCTTTTGCCAATCTCAGCACCTGCTGTATGGCAGGTAAGCATCTCTCAATTTCCTATGTATAAACACTTGCTGGCAAATATTGTGTTTTATCACTGGTGATTTTGGAGGTGAGAGACAAAGACAACTTCTCTATTTATGATGATAGGATACACTTGTAAGACCAGCAAAGAATACTTTAACTACTTTCTGTGTGTTTTCACACATTGGACTTTAAACAGAGCCATGTTGTTAATATTTCCAGTATAATTCACTTAAAAATGAATACATAAATAAGTTTAAGTCATAAAGATAAAGTAGAAAAATTGACTCACTTTGCAAAGAAAGATAAGTTTCTACTCAAAGTGAAAGACAGAAAAAATAGGAAGTCAGACCTCTAAACATGTATTAGTTTTTGAGAGTTTTATATGTGTTTTAATGACATGCAGTCCTTCAACTCTTCCAAGACCTGCCCCCTTCCCTATCTACCCAACCTAAGGCCCTCCTCCCCCCTTTTTTTAATCGAGGCAAAATTGTGCTGCCCAAATACTCTTGAATGCATAATCTTTCACTACAGTGTGGTTAACTAGTCAAAAGCAACACTCCTAGAGAAAAATGTCTTTCTATCTCCCAGAAGGTAAAAATTCCCAATAGCTCCATGGCTAGGGTGGAACTTTGCAACTCCCCTCTCCATGGATCAATTGGTCTGGTTTGGGCTTATACAGGTCTTGTATAAGCTGTTACTTCATATGTGTAGCTGTCCTGATGTGTTCAGGATATATTGTTTTCTTGTAGTTATCCACTTCCTTTGGTTCTTATACTCTTTCTGCCCTTTTTTCTACAATGATCTCTGAGTCTTTGGAAGGGTGATGTAATGTATATGTCCTATTTCAGGCTGAGAATCATGCAGTCTCTTATTTTTTATGCCTTGGTCAGTTATGGATCTCTATGTTGATCACCATCTACTCCAACTGGAATCTCTGACAAGGGTTGAGAGCTGCATTAATATCTGGGCATAACATTACATTATTAGGAATCAGCTTAATGCCATGCCCATTTAGAAAAACAACAGTATGCTGTTCTCCCCTACCATTTATGCCCTATCTACCATAAGTTCTTGACCCAATCATGGTGCCTGGTGTTGATTTCATCTTGTTGAATAAATAGCTCGTAAACACAACCAGAAAGTGGTTGATCACCCCCATGACATTTAGTCCACTAATGCACCAGTGGGAAATTATAGTAGTTCTATAGTGGCAATGTTTTACTTGGGGAACCACTTTAATGACATTTCAATGGTGAGAGATGTTTCTAAGTGAGAAAATGACATTAAATTGATTTCAAACACACCCAAATCTTCACCACACCCTGGAAATAGAAGTTTTGAAACAAAACTTTACAACTCCTACTATTAAAAAGTAAAGTCTAGTTCTTCAACACAAAAATACAGACTTGTTTCATGGCTTTCTTCGGCTAAGAAAACCTTGTGGAGATTACCATACCCTCTTTCCGAGTAGAGAATTCCAATGCCCTTGTGTATGTAGTTTTGCTGTCGCTTAGAATCCTGCCACAAAAGGAGAACAAAGCCAGGATATCCTGACAGAGGATGAGAAACCATGTGGAGCAGATATGAATCATCCTATCTGAGGTCTGTATGGATGAATCAGCCCTCAAGGGACTTGCAGTTGACTGGAGATGCTAGACATGACTTCTTCGTTGAGCCCAGCATAAATTGTAACCAGCAGAATCATGGGCTAAATGGCTCCTTATGCCAGTAAATTATAGAGCAATGATACACAGAGAACTATTTCTCAGTGATAACCTACTTGTATCTTATTTAATAATTTAATTCACAGATAGTCCCTTGAGTGTCTTCCATAGGCAAACCATCATTTTAGGCTTTAGTGGGATACAAGTATAAATGAGATATGGTGTCTGTTTGTAAAGAAATGTGGCAAACTAAGAAGAAATTAACACATTTATCTTGGACTACTTCAAAGCATAAGTGATTATAATTGAAACTTTAATATCTCATTTCCACTTAGATGATGGTTGCTAGCTCCAATCTGGGAAAATAAGATGGAAAAAGAAGCAAAGCCTCTAGAATTAGTTCCAAGCAATGTAGTCTAAGGTCTTTACTGGAGGCAGTAGGCTATCCAGGTTACTAAGTACCCTCTGCTCCTGAGGTTAGGATTAGGGTCTATGAATTATTGCTGTGTTATGCTGTGTCATAGGGAACAACTACTTCATAGTATAATTAAAGACAACTTAAAATGTTAGTACACTGAAGAGAGTCAGGTAGAGTTCTCACCACTCTAAATTTAAATCAGATGTAAATCATGTGCATGTTCTACAAGGTTTTACAGAAGGAAACATTGGTATGGAAAAAGGACTCAGTTTCTAATACATGCTAAATAGCTCAAAGGTTTCACATAGAATGATGTTCCAAGAATGCTTTTAGCAACAATGTTTATCCCCAGAGAAATGCTAAGAGCATAATAGAGACTCAAAAATAATTATTGACTTGAATTAACTTTAAAAGCTTTCTTTTTTTTCTTTTGCCAGAAGTGAAAGAAGAATGGACATTTGACTAATTTCCTGTTGATTTGTGTTTAAATAGTCTTTTACTCATCTAAACATCTAAAAGTTGAAAATATTTCTTAATTAGTCTAGTTAACAAGATACTGACATTTTTATCACATATTTATAATTCCCCCAATAAAGATAGTAAATAATAACTAGAAATTTTAACACTAAAACAATAGTGCTTGAGTTTTGCTTATAGCCATTAAACTTCATTTCATGATGGTGCAAGCGAAGTACTACTGGAATTTCTGGGTGTTCATATACTCATGGAATTCACACATTTGCTGATATCTATAATATCGCACTAAATTCATTACCCATCCATTTCTGTATAAAATGCCATGACCAAAAGCAACTTACAGAAGAAAGAACATGTCAGTTTACAGCTCCAGAGTGGGTGACCATAGTGGCTGGAGAGGTAGAAGCTGATCACTTTTGTTCACACAGTAAGCTGAAATAGCAAACCAGAAATGAAATGAGGCTTCGAGCTCTCAAAGGTCGTTGCCAGTGACATATTGCCTCTAACACGGCACTATGTCCTAAAAATTCCTTGACCTCCCTAACAGCATCACTAACTGGGTGCTAAGTGTTCCAATACATGAGCATATGGGGGACATTGCTCACTCAAACCATGACATTTCACCCCTGACCCCTTTAGGCTCCTGGAAATATCATAATGCAAATGCATTTAGTTCAACCTCAAAAGTCCCCATGTTCTTTAACAGTTAATGCCAGTACCATTCAAGTCTGAATTTTCTTTTAAGACTCAAGGGACTCTATTAACTGTGACTCTCTATAAAATAAAAAAGCAAATTACATACTTAAAACACAGAGTATACATTTCCACTCCTAAAGGGAGGAGTGGGGGGCATAGTGGGGAAATATTGGACCAAAGCAAGACCCAACCCCAGCATGGAAAGTACCAAATCCTACAGTCCATGTCTAGTGCCTGGAGCCTTAGTTTCAAAGGGCTTAGATCGCTCTGCTCCATAAGCTTTACTGCCTGAAGCACACATCTCTCCCTTGAACTGATTCTGCTCCCTATATTCCCACTCTCCTTGGCAAATATCTCACAGCTCTGGCATTCCCAACATCTTGGGGTCTCAACAGAAACCTAGGATTCACTTTAGCAGCTTCAAGCAATGGCTTCCCTTGGGATGATATTGTAAGAACTCCCCTCCTATGCTTTGCTTGGCCTCAGTGGCTCTCTGAAACTGCAGAACGTTACATGACCCTTTCACTCCTGCATCATTCAAGCTTTCAAAGCTAGTACCACTTGGAAGCTGATGCTAAGTTCCACTGCTAGTTTGGGATGGACCATGGCACCCTTAATCCACATTAGCATCAGCTTTTGCTTGCTGGTATTTCCTAGAAGCAGGGAACTCTTCAGGCCCTTTCCTTTCCTAAGATGGAAGCTTAGCTGGGTGGGGTCTTGCACTCAGGGCATTTTTCTTGCTTTTCCAGTGCAAAGCACAAAGCATAAAGGTGCTAATATCTTTAACAATTTCAGCCTCTTTTACAGCACATGCCTTTGTGGCAGCATTGAGTTTCCCAGTGTTCTCTTTCTTTCCAAGGTGCACATTATCTGCTTTCTTTCTTGTCTTGGGTCTTGTCCACTTGCTCTGGATCTCTGTGGACCCACATTAGAGTTATTAATAATGTTTATGCCAGAGACTCAACGTTACGCTGTCTTGAAATTTCCTCCACCAAAGAAATTAGTCCACCATCTTTTAATTTTTAGTTTTGAAGACACAGGAAGCAAACATTCATATTATTTGTTAAAATATCAAATGATTGGTTCTAGCCCAGTTGCTGATAGAGTTTTTATTTCCTTCTAAAATGTAATGAGTTTGACCTCCACCATCTACTTTATTCTTAGCACTATGTACAGGCTCTTACTAGAATGGACTATCAAACTCTAATTGTAGCATTCAACCACTCTTTGAGTCCAAAATTCCAAAGTCCTATACATTTCTTATTCCTGGCAACAATTTCTGTACTAGTTACTGTTAAAAAAAATAAAACATGAATAAAACGAACTTACAGAAGAAGCAGTTGCTTTGATTTACTATCAGAGGGAGAGTCCATAATGGTTGGGGAAGAATGGCAGCAGGTTCTCACACCTGGAGGCTGTGTGATCACACCTCTCACAAAGGCAGCAGGTTCTCATAGAGGGAGACTGTGTGATCACACCTCTCACAGAGGCAGCAGGTTCTCA